CGACACTGTTTCTGGTAAAGACTATATTTGCAGATATTTCAATGCCCAAAGCAAAATATAGCTAGGTCATATGCCAACTTTTAAAATGTACTTTTATCTCAACGCTTATTCTTTGGAGTCAGGTGTTTTGTCATAACAAACAGAAACAAAGGCTTTTTTATTGCTAAAGATATTCAATGGCTTTTGTGTTCCAAGCGTCAGCAGTAACGTCAGAGGATTGTATCCAAGGAGCTAAATGTGCAAGACCTAGGGTCAAAGCAGCTGAATACACCAACCTCAGAAAACACAGACAATGAATTGCAAATGACACTCAAAACAAAACGAGAAAAAAAACCTTCACACAGAAAACTACAAAAGAACTCCACAGATACTGAATTGGCTTTCTGTACACACTGATCCTGCTTAACTGTGTGTGGTAACTAACTAAACGTTCTGAGACTAATAGTCATAAAATAGAGACTCCTTGGGGGAAAAACTAAGAAAAAAAGACTGCATCTATTGCCTTTTTTTTTTTCCCTTTTAAATGGTGGACAGCTAGTGCTATTTTCAAATATTTTGAAATGTATTAGAGATGACAATTAATTACAAGCCCATTATTCTTCCATTAACTTGGCTGTACGATCTTCACAAAAAGGTGTACTGTTTCAATTTAGAATTCACAGAACAGAACAAGCGATTTACAAATCCAAAAGAAGTGATAGTTTTTTCACGACACACAGGGTTCTCCTACTGTATATCTCAACTTGATAACAAGATCACAAATACAAGATATAAAACCAATGTTTATAGCTCAGGTCTGAATAGGGTAGTCTGAACTGACGTGCTGCTGTTCAGGTTTTCACTGGGACTTGCTCTGACTTCATAACACAGTACACCAGTTAGGTGTATGAGTAATACAAGGACATTTTAATAGATCATTCAAAGCTGCCTATAAAACACACATAGTTTGTCTGGCATTAACTGTCTACCAGCACAAGTCCACAAGGTCCCTAAATTGCCAGCAATTATAGATTTTTACTGACTTGTCGGCAATTAGGAAGTTAATTTCATTTCAGTCACTTCAGAGATGATACCAGAACCATTGCTCCAAATCCCTGCTCTCCCCAGAAAAAAAACAAAAAAGTTAGCATCCTGGGTAGGTGCATGGGGGTGTGCATGTGTGTATAAAAAAAGGGACAGTACTCTTAGTATTCAGAAAATCTCCCTCTTCTCATTCTTTGTATAAAACACTTTTCTCTCTATTTATCTGGAAACCCATGGCACACTGCAGTGTAAAAAAAGAAACAAAAACACTCACTGCCAATCCCACAGCTACATTAAAAACTTGAAAGTTGTGACTAACAGAAATAGGAACAATGGTGCCACAGTTTCAAATCTTTTAAAGACACCACAGAACTAGTGATTTCCATTTTTTTTTTTTCATTTAAGAAAAAAATACACCCACAACTATAATGCCAAGGTACAATTATCCTGGCATCCTAAACTACTGCTTATAAAAAGCATTCTGGCTCTACCCTGAAATGTTTGTACAATAAACTAGTAGGAAAAAATCCTCCTATTTTGGATTTTAAGCTATAATAGTGTTTAAAAACAACAACATTCCAAACCTGAAACAGAAAAGTCTTACCCATTGCTTGCTTCCCCATAGCACACTGGTAAGTGTTTCTTGGGGACTGGTTATGGTGAGGATATGGAATAAGCCCAGCACAAACACCAAGAAGTGTGAAAGGTTCAATCTCCAAATGTGTCGTCTCTCTAAATAAAATAAAATTAAAAAGGAGAGAGAGAGAGAGAAGGAAGAACGACTTCTGGTTATGTTCCATGCCAAAATGCCATCATTTTAATGCACTTACGTTGGTAAAATCCGGTAATTTAATTTACTTCAGTTCAGTTAAAAAAAAAAAAAAAAAAAAAAAAAAATCAAATCAATCAATGTATCCTAAAATATTTTCATGACAGAACTATATATTTGCTTTTTTTCCCCCCCCACTCCAGTTAAAGTTGTATTTCTCCTTTGATCAGGTTCGTAGTCAAAGGGGGAGGAAGGGAGGGAGAAAGAAGAGTACGGTTACATGGACAAAGAGAAGACAAGAACCACAAAAGTATGACATGGGCGATAAAGGATGGACCCAGATAATCAATTGATGTTCCTAGATAAAAACAATAATAATTAACCAAAGCTGCGTAATAAATATGGGAGGTCACATAAGAAATGTGTTTTCCTCCTTCAAAATCACATGTCCCAAGGAGCTACCATTGTTAAAATACAAAACAAAACAGGTTTTTGAGGCCAGTTACAAAAATAAGTCTTGTCAAGTTAATCTAATCTCTAAACTAAACCCTATATCAAGGCTGTTAAAAGTATATCACAACATTATATATGAAACTTTTTCAAATATACATATCTTGTTAAAAGCTGAATCAAGAGGAAAGAAATTAAAAGATCTAGGCAATAGGCAAAGGTTGGTTTTCAAGAGAGGTATGATATGAGATTAGAAAGATTTGTTCTAAACTGGTAGGAGCAGCAAAGGAAAAAGCTCTAGGGCAGTAAAAGAATAAACAGGCCATTTTATGTGGAGAGATGCAAGTGGCCAGTGCTGGACAAGGATTAAGCACAAAGCCTGAGGTAGGTATGAGACAGTCAAGTGGCCAATTATGAACTGGGAAATTTCAAAAGAAAAAAGTTACTTTAATGTCAGTTTACCCAAAGCAGACATTTTTCTGGGTACTTCAGGCTCATTAAATAGAGCCTAGCTACTAGGTATTAGGAGATGGGCAATTAATTCCTTCACCTACAGTGTCCAGCCCTTTTCTTGCGGTGTGGAAAATCTTGTGTGCTCATTAAAGTTATCGGCTTTAATCATATGCCCCAAGACTCCATAGCAGAAATATGGGGATATATTTTCTACTGCATTACATGCAAAGGACAGTACACTGTCATGTCTGTGATATAGATGAAAAGTCCTTGACAGGGCATGCCCGGGTGAGGAAGATAAATAGCAATGCCTCCCTCCCCATCAAAACAGTAGTATATTTTGCTAAGGAGATTACAGTCATGATGATCCATTTCAGAAGAACTGGCTGTTAAGAGTGCAAATATCTAATACTTTCTCCAGCTCATGCTAAATCAGAAAATGTTCTGCTTATATTAATTTGAGCAACTTGGAAGTCACTCACCGGCACGACAACATATGCTACTTCTCTGCACTTGACAAAAACTGCATTTAGTGGAGAAGAGTCTTAAAAAAAATAAGAGCATTAAAACATCAACTCCAGATAAACCATTCCAAACTGACATATATAGTCAGTCAGTCTCAAAATTATATCAGTAAACTGAAACTATGGACAGATGCAGTGTTAAAGCAAGTATGGGTAAGGCACATCTATACCACTAACTCATTGTGTCAGGTCATGCCAGCAGACTGATACATACTGTTCTGTTCCACACACACTGCCTCCCAAAACTGCAAGGAATTGAATGTTACAAGCAGGCCAATTAGCATTGCTTAGCAGCAGCATGGTGCCCCCTTAGCAGTACATATATGCCCCATTAAATTCAGAATATAATAATGGGATTTGGTAAGAACTCCATAACAGCAGCAGCTTACTAGTAAGCACACACACATGAAAGATCAGGAAGCGATCAAAACTCACAGAAAAAGTAAGGTGGGAAGGGACCTCAAGAGATCATCTAGTCCAACCCTTTGCTCAAATCAGGACTATCCCTGTCTAAACCATACTACAGTAGACCATCTAAGGATGTAAATGGAGCAGGACTAAGCAGAAGGTAGCAGATTATAGAGCAGTTAATTCAAAACACTTATTAAATTCTTCCTGGCTTTTATTTTGTTCCAATTCTGCACAACTTCACACAGCTAACAAAACTGTGCTATCAAGGGAAGCTTAAGCACACAGAGCTGCGCAGAGTTTCTTAGCTTTTACTCATGGATGTGCTCAAGTACACCTCTAGGACCAGGTCAGCTAGCGTAAAATCGGAACAGACTGGACTTCAGCGAAGCTGTGCCAACTGAACTAGATCTTCAGCAAGTGCAAAACTTCTTCCACCAAAATGCCAAAAGAACAAGTCTGAAGTCAAAGCATCCTTGCCAGAACTGGACTCAAAGTGGTCAGCAGCAGCTAGGAAGAAGGGATTTTTAGAACTGATCAGGAAAGGAAAGGGACCTTTAACAGAGATGAAGCCTGAAGGAAACAAAGCCCCAGTGGGAATGAAAAAATATGAACAGAGACCAATATAGCTAAGTGACACTATTGTGCAATAGGCTGGAAGAATGGAAGGGGGGGGATGCCTCATCAATTATATTAGCTACAAAGTGACAAGAGTTTCAGGGCATAATAATTCACTTAGGAAAAAAGAATTCAAAATTTTCGAGTGCTCTTAGTTGGGTACAACAAATATATGTAGGGATAAATAATAGTTCACCGTGTGATGCTTTTGTAAAGAGACCTTTACTTCATCATTTACATTCAGAAGCTAATGTCAGGAAGGAGAACTGTAGCAAGCTTCCCAGAGATACTGAGTTCAAGTTGAGATGTCTCTGGACAGAATGTCCAATGTCTTGAATTTGAAAGCTTGTCTGACTAATCCAAACTATGCAGTTGGTCCAACGAAAGACATCACCCTAAGAAATGCTTGCCTCTTTGAACAGTGTAAGATAATGTAGTCTTCCACACTTTTGACAAGAAGTTAGAACTAAACAGCTAAAGCAGGGTCTTGCCCAGCTTAGAATGATTTAATGTAGACCGTCATGGATCACTGAGGTTTAAAAAAACAAACAAAAAAAAGTTTCAGCTGCAGTGTGAACTAAAGGTGATTAACTGACATGAGTAACACTTCACCCTTTTTGGTCTGATTGTTGCTGAAGTTGCCAGGAAGCCAGCCAAGGATACCAAACAACACATTTTTGAAGGGAACTCAAAGGATGTGTTCTTAACCACTTGTCATGTTTTAGAGCACTCCTAAGAAGCATGCTCCCACCTACCTACTTCTAGCCTGCATACACCAAGCCTACATAGGAGGCAGCATGGCTGTTCTGAGGACACTGCCAGGGAAGCTCTGCCGCCTCATTTCCAGGTATGGTGCACGCAGAGTACAAGCAAATGGGCAAGGGACATATTTTTGGCAGCACTCTCCAGAGTGCTCCAGAAGCAGCAGCACACATATCCATCATCTTCAGAAGGGCACAAATATCAGCAATGCAGTTATCGGATGAAATGCAGCCATTCCATCTGTTATAAAAATACAACAGGGGTCTGGTCAACTGCCACTGAAATCTATGAGCATCTTTTGATTCACTTCAACAGGTGTTGGGTCAGCCCCTAGGTCTTTTGGAAATCATCATATATTCTGTGCGACTTATCAACTATCTTTCACATATCTTTGTTACATATTACACATTAGTCAACAGGATATTCTCAGCTCAAAAAATGCCTAAGGAAGCATGAACCAGTCATTCTGAAACAAGCTGTACTTTACTTTTTAGTACTCTTTGGTTACAAATGGGTAGTCACAACATAGAAAGAGTGAAGTAGAGAGAGGCTTTAGCGTGCAGCTAGAAATAATTCTTAAAAGTAGGCTATATAATACATGAAAGGTCTGACACAATTTTATTAGGATTTATTTCGTGGCTTGCATAACTCTGTCTGGACAATTAAGCGTCTGCACGGCTATCAAAAATACAATCCATACCATAGGAGATACCATGCATTTGTGGGTTAGAAACACGATTTGCCACAAAACAAACTAAACTAACTTATTTGTGACTATCCTACAGATGATTTATGATGCGTTTAAAATGTACGTCCTAATTGTCGATTATCTCCTGCCTGCAGATTTTTTTTAACAAACAAGTTTCTTGCTGCGGGAGCCTCAGCATTACAGCTTAACTCATATGTTTAGATTTCAAGGAACAGAAAAGTGCTAACACATGCATCATTTTTACTCTACTAGTTTTTGGTGTGAATATACACTTACTTGTTAACTGTATGCTCGTACAGTGCAACGTTGCAGTCATTTTCCTCATTCACATCCAAGTATTCAACTAGGCCTTCATGTAAAAAATCTTCAAAACTCCTGCAGTTACCAAAACAGTTTTAAGCAGGTGTTCCAAAACATTCTTTGTATGCAAGAATAAAAATAAATATTTAAAGGAAACAGCTTTTGCATGGGACTCAAATTAACAAGTTGTTCTTGTTTACACTGAGTTTCACATGTATCACACATTTTCACAAAGAATTGCATCTAATATTAGAGAGAGAAGATGACCCATGCATTCACCCACCACATAATTCTATCTACCAGTTGGCTTGAGGTAATTTTTCAAACAGCAGAGTCAAACTTCACTTCCTTAGTCGTTTCGTTATCATAAGAGGGGACAGCTATATTTTGATTAGGGGCTAACACTTTTTCATGATGATTTTGCAAAATTGATTTAGAGCTGAACAGGACCAGCTTTCATTAATCTTAGACACCTACGTATGAACACGTTACATTTTAAAGTGTAATTCTAAATGCCTCAGTTTTCTGGTAACCACCTTCAGCAGTAAAGATATTTCATTTTTCAGAAGGCAGGCATGCACTGTTTTTTGAATTCTCAAGTTGGGTTTCATGTTACTAGTCACTTTTGAAAAAGTTAATTCGTACATTTATTCTATATCTACACAGAGCCATGTTAAACAAAGTATGAATTTTGCACTTGTTTGGCATTTGATATTCAACAGAAACAAGACATTCCAACTCTTCCTTAGCAAGTGACAACATATTTAACCAATACTGCAGAACTATGAGAATGCTTAATTTAGTTCGTGCACATCCTTATGACATTTACAGACCAACACGGAAACAGACAGTACAGCTGAGTTATTTACCTGTATCCCTGAGCAAGTTCTTCCATGTGTTTGTTTGTAACTGCTGGCTTTTGCTTCTTTACAATTATATAAGGTCTAAATTAGAGAAAAGAGAGTCATAGCAAATACAGACAGAGATATCTTACTTTGATATACATTTAGATTACCAGCTTGCATACAACAGCTGGTTTGCAATCCACTTTTGGAAATATCATGCAGACATAGAAGCTAGGATATTGGCATGCATTATTTGTTTCTTAAAATATTTTTACAAAAAAGAAAAGGCTTAACTGGATTTCCCAACATCATATCTGCAAAAATATGATCAGTTAAAGGCTTCAATTTGAAGTATCAGTTTGGTTTGATAACAGTTCAAGAAATCTATATCCCATACATAACTTTCTGGGAAGTATGAACAAAATTTGCTACTAAAAGATACAAATAACTTAGAACAACACACTTTATAACTGAATTTTCAGTGGGGCTATGTTTTGCTTACAAAATTTTATTAATAGCTTTGAAATATTTAAAATTTTTCACAATATTACCAAGCTAAAAATAGGACCCATTGGTATATTTGCATTTGTACAGTACTGAGCAGAGTCAAGGTGCAATAAATATTTGAGTCTAAATAAGTTAATGGCAAAATATGTTCTATCCAACTTATAGAATATAAAAGTATGAACTGTTTTACTTCATGTTGCAGCAGATTAATCTGTAACTTTTAGCAGCACCAAATCTCAAAGAGCTTCACCACCACAAGGAAACTCTCACACAAAGGATGGTATGCAAGATCAAAACGTCAAGGACTGTTGCTATTTAGACAAGTTGCTCTTACAGAGTGCAGCAAATAACAAGATACTTGTAGAGGCTGCTGTGAAGTCCAAATTACTGTTTGAGGGCTAATGAGCACTTTTAAATGGCTAAGAAGAGAATGTGAACAATTGCAATGAAAGTGTCACAGGAAAAAGTGAACTGAGTTTTCCTTGGAAATCCACATCATTTCACTTGATGTCTTTTTTTTTTTTTTTTTTAATTGGAACATACATTAGAAGTCATGCTCGACTTTCAGATATGAAGTTTGACTCGTCTTAGCACTGCTTAAATTGGAGGGCCAGGTTCTCTGCCTTTCATGTCACCCATGACTCTGGATACTGCTCATCACCCCTGCCAGGTATGACTTATTGATTAGCTCTTAACCATACCTCTCATGGGAAATTTGGGGGCCTTTGGAATGCTTCATAATTGCATCTAACACTACGTTCAGTTTTTAAAGTAAAGCTGAAACCATCAGATATGGCAACTGCCAAGCTTAGTTGCAAATACAGCTGCCGAGTTGGTTACTGTGTATATGAACTGTACACATTGCTCATCTATACTAAAACATGCTCTTATTACTACTTCATGTCTCTGCCCTGCCATCTTACTTGCTCACTCCTCCCTTATGCCTTGGTGTTTAATGCTGTGCACTCTTTGGGGCTGGGAATGTTTTATTTGTTATATGTATAAACGATTGACACAAAGCAGTTCTCATTTGATACTATTACATGAATAAGAGCACTCAATTTTAGTTCAAATGCAAGAGGTAATTCGTGTTCTCAGAATATTGTTACATCTACCTTATCTTACTTTGGCAACCCAAGCCTTCCCTCTTCCCCTCCCAACAATATTATGTCTTATTGATGTGCGCTTATCTTCCCTCTATTATAAATTCTTCAGGGCAGTGACTTTTGTTTGCCAGATGCCACGCCTACTTAGCAGGGACCACAGAAATAAAATTAGAATTATGTGAGGTGTTTCCTTCTAATTAGAGCAAACAAATGTGTAAATGTTTTTCTGACATTTTCTACCATAATGGGAGGTCAAGAAGTTTAAGCCTCTTCTCTTGCCACTGATGCTGAAATCAACAGGATAAAACGTGGTTGCCCGTGGATATCTTGCTGTGGTACCATGGCATAAGCACTTCATATAAAGGAAATCACGACCTCAGGTAAGCAACAGTACACCTCAACCTCATTCTAACCAACTTATGAGACCAGGAGAAAACTTCAGTAAAGGAAGGTGTTTGGTATAATAGGGGTAGTCAATGTGCTCCAGAGATTGTTAAAACGGTGGTGGGGCGGGATTGTAATAAACAGGGTGTCTTACAATGAGTTTGTAGCACACCACACATTTATACCAAATTGCTTATTTATTTTCTTGAGGATTTATTTTCTTCATTTCACTTCACCTTCATTTCTGTTCAGAGCTAAGGCTCATCTACAGCATTTTTAAGCCAGTCAGTTCAGTTATACTTTATTCTGATTATCCCACATTTGAAGCTGGAACTTCCAAAGGAGTAGAGAGGCTCACACTTCATTGCAAATTAATAGGATTTGGGTGGCTAAATCCCATAGGCATATGCAAAAAAACCCTGCCTAACAGATTCACAACGTCTGGCAGATAATGTAAAGAAGTTCTTTAGAGCTTTCTGAGGTAGAAAAGGGGTGAAGAAATTTACCTGCACAATCTTCCTCCATCAGAAGAAATGTAGACGCATCTGTCAGAGCGATTTGTAGAGATTGAAACAAATTCATTGATATAACCTGCGCGCCGCATTAGCCGAAACGTGTTGACTAGCTTTTGATGATCTCGAATGACACCAAGGATGTTACCTGTTTGAAAAATTATAAATATATCTATTGTAAAACCCCATCAAGACCTAGAGTTTCTTTACTTATTAGATATAACCAGTAATACCTTCCAGAGGTTGTGAATGACTAGAGTTAGCAGAAAACAGTTTCATCCTCCCCAGTGTGGAAAGTTTCAGCTCGTTAGAGCCAAATATTCTGTTAATACAGGAAAAGTTTGGCTTTCAAATGAAAATATTGGAGGGAAAACAAATAAAAACACCAACAATTTTAAAAAGGAAAAACTGTTACTCTGAAATTATTTTTTCAATGGAAAACTGGGCTCTTGAAAAAAAATTCAATGGAGTCTTTTCTACCACAGCTACAAACCATTAACATCTCTACACACATCTCCAAATCCTCATCTAGAAGCAAATTAATATATTTATTTGAGTTTCATTTTAATAAAATTACTGCTCTGCCTACAAATTCACCATTTACTATGTGGTTAGGCAAAGGTTCCTAAAACTAGAGCTTGAGCTGTGGTGTAAGGGGATGGGGGAGATCTAGATACTAACCAAAAACTGTTAGGACAATTTGTAAGAAATTTACAAACCTTGATAATACAGATTAGTCAATAATGCATTATAGCACTAAAACGCCCCTTCCACCACAATTCAAAGCTTTCCTTTTAAACAACTCAAATATGTAATTAACTGCTTTGCTAAATAAAAAGAGATTTAAGCATGTGCTTGAGCCATCTCTATGTAGACAGACAGCACAGTAAAAATGCACCCATAGAGGTCATCTTAGAAGATGAAAACAAATGCTGTTCATTACAGGGAATTCAGGGAAGGAACTAGATAGGTTAAGGGACTTTTAATAGGCTAGAAAGATTTTTAAATTGGGGGGAGGGTGTCACAGGTTTACATCTGAGAGGTCAGTAGTCAGCAAGGCTTTTTTCTTTATAAAGTGCCAAACTGTTGAAGGCTTCTGCTTTCACTCAGTGCTGTTTATCTATTTTAGGAAAGTAACTCATCTGTGCATCAGATGCTGCTGGTATTCCACAGAATAAAAGTCAGGGTCAGAATCTGGAAATAAATTTAGCTTATGATACGTATAGTTTTATTACACTTTTTTTTTAAAGTGTGTTGTTACACAACAGTGTCATGTTACTTCAGAAAAAAGTCTTAATGGGACAATGTAAAAGACTTTTCTTAATGTCAACCTTTAAACCCCCTAAATCTAGAATGTAAATGAGAACCTTTTGATCCTGAAGAAGGTCAAATATTAATGCCTAAAATGACTACTAACAATGAATTATATTAATTCATAACTGCTAACCTGCCAATTCACAAGTGATAAGAATGATAAAGTCTCTCTACATCTGCATTTAAAGATTAGTGGCTCAAGTCAATAGAGTATGTGTGTGCCCATGCATAATGCACATACTTTTTGAAAGTGTGTCTCTATTCAATAATCCAAAACAAAGAGAAACTGCCCTAATTTCCTGGATCAATGTTTTGTGACCATCTGTGAAGGGAGTTCTCTCCTCACAAAAAAGAATAGTGGGCTAAATTTGTAACAAGTTAGAAATAAGAAAAATCAGATCCTGAGTAGCTTTACATTCCAATTCATATCACAATCCTTCCATTATATTTTTTGTTTCTGTTTAACATATTACTCCTAGTGCACCAAAACTAGAAAAGGCTTAAGACACAGTCTCGAATTTTAGACTAGAAATTCTGCAGCCACATTTGCAGCCTCTAAACACCCAGTCAATTTTGTGGGCACAAATAATGGCAGACAACTAAATACCATCATTACAGGGCCTGTATACCCTGTGGGTGGCTTCAAGCAGACGTTACAACATTTGCCACTAAGATGATTGGTGCACTGAAGACTGCACCTGTGGTTGGCTGTGTTCAAAACACTGCAGGATAGTTTTTAAAAGCATGCCCATTCAGTCTGTGCTAAATTGGTGCCAGACTGCTAGGAAGTTACATACCATTAAGGAAAACGAGGAACACATTTGGATATGAAAGTTCTTCTCCGCATAGTAAGTTTACATCTTCTACTCCGAGATTACCAGCCAATTTAATAATGGGGCCATCTTCCATATCAGTGGTAATGTGAGTCATCAGAGCTAGGTTTTTAACCAAACCACAAGCCTAAAAAGCAACCAAACAAGTTATTCCAAAGTAAAAATGTCAATGTTGCAAATGCTATAATGACATAATTCTGTAAATTATGCCAGCAAAACCTCTCTCTGACAGAGTCCCGTCTGGTGCAAAAGAAATTGCCTGAACCTCAACTCCTTAGGTGGTGAGGGAAGGGTAGAAAGTGAGGGTAAAAAAGGTGCACGTTCCTTACCTCTCCTTCAGGAGTGTCTGATGGGCAAAGCATACCCCACTGAGATGGCTGCAGAGATCGAGGACCACTCACTTTTCTTGTCTTCTCAAACTGAGAAGAGATTCTAGTCATCATTCCCAAAGCAGATATATAAGACAAGCGGGACAACACCTGTGTCACACCTTGGCGATCCATTTTGAATCTTTTCAGTGACCAATTTCCCTGAAGGGCAGATAAAACAAGTTTTGTTCAAAATTCTGTTGCTGTTTCTCTCTTGTACCAACCACATTTCTTTTAGATTAATTTGACAAAATAGCATTGGAGGATGTTTGCATTGCACATACTGTCTATTTAGAGACAACTCCTCCCAATTTCTATTCAGTACCTAAAAGATATTCTGCTGGTTACAATGTATTTGCACAGTATTAACAGCTCATTTTGAATAAAGAGCCACACCACTCTGCCTTGGTGAAAGCCTAGAGCAGGAGTGTCAAACATACAGCATTAATTTCTGCACCTGCCAGTACCAAGATTAGCACAACTGGTGCTCATCCCACTGCTGGGTCTGGCCTGTGGGGCCAAATGATTCTGACCCCCTTGTCCTTGAGCAAAAGCATTATTCACATAAACAATCCTCATCTCTGCTTAAAACAAGGCAAATTGGTACTCTGACAATTGGGTTAGAAAAGGAATATTTTTATTTTCTCATCTTAACGTTTTCTTCCTTAAAGGGCACCAGAGTTGACAGTTTTAGACAGTAGTACGGGTTCTTGTCCTCCTGCAATTTATGGAAACATTTCAGAAAGTAATACTATTTGTTAACAGAATTTGCTATGTTTACTAAGAAGAGTCCAGGAGAACAAATATCCAACCCAAATCCTTCATTTCACTGAAAAGATCAATCAAATCTATTTATTTCTCTGATGAACATGAACCATTTGTATTTCATAATAAACTAATTTAAAACACTAATTTACTAGGAAAAAAAATCCTTGACCTAAGAAAATGTGCACGCTGTCCAGTCAGAAACTGATGACGGCAACACCAGGGTGCAATTAAATAAAAAGTGCAGTTGCCTTATAGGAGTGTTTTCCAACTCTCCAAAAAAAGTTCAGAGAACCATCTATCCCAGTTTATTCTGAAAATATGGCCCCTTACTATCATCATGTAGAATTACCATATAGTAACAGCTGTAATATCTGGAAACACCGCACTACAAACAAGCTTGTGTTGACTAAAGTATTACTTGAGAATTAGGGTAAATAAGACTGTGAGACATGTGGTCTCAGACAAGAATTTACTCCAAGGGAAAATAATTTTTCTTTCTCTAGTGAGAGCATGTCACTGGTGACACCTCAGAGAGGGACATAACTTGAAGCAACTTTAAAGTCAGAGTTAGCTGGTGTATTTTCTGCTAGTTCTGGTTATACTGAACTTCGCTCAAGTTGGTGTCAGTGACTACTACTGTTCTTCAAGAGGGACAAGGGCTGTTTCCTGAGCTCATCATATGTTTGCCAAGTATTTCTCACCTGGCTCTCTTTAGGCTTTGGGACAAGAAATGTTTGTTTAGATTTTGCTGGGAAGGACCCAGGCAATCCAGCTCACATCTTGGAAAAGATCTCAAGTATAAAACTTGGAAGATGGGATGCTTTGAGGAAAACAGAACTACACAAAAATTGTTCAGGCAGAGAGCATAAAAGTTCATTCTTGTACTGTTTATATCTGAGCTATTGGATATTGGTTTCTAAGAATCTTTTCTAAAGAATGAAATCTTCTGTCTATTTAAACAGTACTTTTATGCAAATTATGAACTATGACAGCATTATGGAGCTTTTTCCTGAAGCTGATCCCAAGAATCTGGACTGACAGAACATCAGGGCCTCCATGACCATCTCCAATTCCTTCCTATATAAAGATTGATGAGAATATTATCTAGGTAGGTAAAATAGATACCTATAGGTAGGGACCTACCAAATTCACGGTGGAAGTAGAGTGTGCAGCAGCTCCTTTAATCTTGTATGTTCCCCCATGTGCACCTTGCCCCTTATCCATCCCTGCTGCTTAGTGGAGGACCCTGCTGCTCTCTCCTGATCAGCAGGGAAACTAAAACAGCAGTTTTAAATATGACACCATTTTTGCCTTCCTACCAGTCAGCAGCAAACATCAGGGCTTTCTGGGGCCCCTCAGCCAATCAGTGGGGGGGCAAAGAGGGTGGGGAGGCAAAAGCAGTGCCATATTTAAAATTGCAGTTTTCACCTCCCTGCTGATCAAGAGTGAGCTACAAGTGGGGCCCCTCCACCAAACAGCAGGGTGTGGGAGAGGCATGGGGGAACCTGCAAGATTAAAGGAGCCACAGCACACACCATTTCTGCTATGAATTCAGTAGGTCCCTACCTATAGGTTTACCTATATTTTCTCAAAAGACTCTAGGAACAGAAAATAATTCAAAAGGAAGTAAAATCATAGAATCATAGAAAATTAGGGTTGGAAGAAACCCCAGGAGGTCATCTAGTCCAGCCCCCCGCTCAAAGCAGGACCAGCCCCAACTAGATCACTCCAACCAGGGCTTTGTCAAGACAGGCCTTTAAAAACTTCCAAGGATGGCGATTCTACCACCTCTCTGGGTAACCTGTTCCAGTGCTTCACCACCCTCCTAGTGAGAAAGTCCTTCCTAATACCCAACTTAAACTTCCCTTGCTGCAACTTGAGACCATTGCTCCTTGTTCTGTCATCTCCCACCACTGAGAACAGTCTAGCTCTGTCCTCTTTCAAACCCCACTTCAGGTAGTTGAAGATTGCTATTAAGTCCCTACGCAGTCTTCTCTTCTGCAGACTAAATAAACCCAGCTCCCTCAGACTCTTCTCAGAAATCATATGCCCCAACCCCTGAACCATTTTCATTACCCTCCACTGGACGCTTTTAAAACTCATCTACATCCTTTCTTTGGCTGGGGAAAAAGTGGACACAGTACTCCAGATGTGGTCTCACCAGCACCAAATGGAGTAGAATAATTACTTCTCTTGATCTGCTAGCAATCAAGGCTGTGAGAGGCTTTGGAAAGAAGCTTTGGACACTTTGGCGTCCAAAGCAGCATGGCCGGATTGAAGCACTGTTACTCATCCATCCAAGTATGCCGTTAGCTTTCCTGGCAACAAGGGCACTGCTGACTCATATCCATTTTATTGTCTACTGTAACCCCTAGGTCCTTTTCTGCAGAGCTGCTGCAGAGCCAGTCAGCCCCCAGGCTGCAGCAGTGCATGGAATTCTTCCACCCTAAGCACAGGACTTTGCACTTGTCCTTGTTGAACTTCATGAGATTTCTTTTGGCCCAATCCTCCAATTTGTCTAGGTCACTCAGAAGCTGTGGCAGATACCTGGGAGGCTACAAGCAGCTGAACCACAGTCCATGAAGCCCTAGCCTGGCTCATTGCTGGCAGTGGGTACACACGCATGTTGGGGTGCATGGGGAAGGGGCCAAGGCTGCACTGCCACAACAAGGATTGGGCCTCTCGCAGCTCCCCCACTGTCTGCCCCTGGCACACCAACATCTTACAACTCAAGGTTGCGGGTGTTTTTGGCACTGCCCAAAAAAGCTGCCGACTCCGGTTCTGCACTATAAGCTGTGTGTAACAGCATTCACTTGGCGAGTGTAACAAGTTCACATTCTATTTGGATGACGGCCCAATTTAAAAGCAAGCAGGTCTGTTCACCCAAGTCCTTTGGCTGTCTGGAGGCATCCAAGATCCTGGCCTGCACTGCTCTCCGTCTAATCCTGCAACCTGTCTAGGGAACTCATTTGGCTGGTATTAACAAAAGAATTTTTTTGACCTAGATGAGAAACTGGGTTGCCTAAAATCACTTTGAAGAGCAGTTTTTTGGGCTTTGAGCTGCAGATGGTAGTGTAGTGTCAGTCTCTGCTTTCTCACTGAACAGCAAATATTGCTTGAACAGACCCACCTTTGCAGCTACACAGCAACTGCCCTGGCCGTGGTAATTTCAGTATTAGGGACCTCTGGTAATGAGCATATATTGGGTTTTTGAATCTGCTTAATTCCTAAATTTATATGAACAGTGGCTGTGCTATAGAAGAACATGGAAATCAATTAAACTTTAAGTGTTGCTGAGATTAACCTTACAACCCCTAAAACCTTGGATGAGAAAACAGCAGTAATTATCTTATATGAGCCACCACTGCTGCATCTACTATTAACAACATGAAGGAGGTTGTCTGTTCTTTCTGAAGCTTTTGGAATTTGTTACATTACTTATTTAGGCAACATACAAGAATTTTTTTGAATAATTTTTTCAGACCCATTACACAGCATTTCAAGCAGTGCAGAAGAAACTATCTTCTGGTTACACAATTCAGCTCTTCAGATCTCAAGCCAGAGCCAGAATTTGCTCAATGTGCCAAAGACTTGAATACATCAGGCAAAGATGAGTACTCCTACATCTTTCCATCAGCCTCTTGTCCTATTATTCAGAAAATTCCCTTGGCCCCACACCTACTGAATAAAATGGGTCAGAAGTGAGAGCTTCCTGAGAAGAGAAAAAATGACTCCGGACTTTCTTCCTTTTGGTTTCCTTACCCTTTCGCTTATTCTTTGACCACTTAAAATATAATTATTTCTTCTAAGCTCTTTCCATGATAGAGGAGCGGAGTTCTACTGATTGTTAAAGTCAGATTCTGATAACTTCAACTACTCCCACTACAGAAGATGGAAAATACAAGTACTCTTGACAGGCATTAAAAAGATGAGGCAGCAGTAGGCTGATTTCCAAAGTGGCATGGACTGTGTCAAGTCAGTACTGTTCAGGAAAAAAAAAAAAAAAAAGAGAGAGAAAGAAAGAGGAGAGAGTGTGGAATATACAGAAACAGATGAAGTTGTAAAGTAGTAACATTCCTTTGATGAATGAGAAAAGCAAACTCTTTCAGGGTTGAGACGCTTGGTCATGTTGCATCCTTCCACAGCCTACAAAGTCCCAAGAGCTTGAAGGTGCACTGACTGAAATGGACTTGGAAATATCTGGTGAGCCAGTAACACACTACCATTTCAATTCTTTCTCCTGGTTCCCTCCAAGGAAAAAAAGACAAGGTCTGTAGTAAGTATTATTGAACACCATGTAGATGGCTGAAGTAAGAGTGGTATGGATTTTTTTACATGCTGCTGGTGCAATGCTAAAGCTGCTTTTGGGAACTGTCCTTGAAGTATTCTGGCAAGATTGGAGATACTGTAAAAATCGGGTCTTGGAAAGAGAATGTGTTTAATCTTTTGAATAGTATGCACTGGGCATGATTCCTGGGAAATTATTTTCAATGGTTAAGAGCAGATGTTTTTTAATTGCTTGTGCGGCAGTGACAAGTCTTAAGGCAGGGGAAGGAGGACAATTCTACAATATATACTGAATAGCTGGCAGATTTATCTCTGAGAACACAAATGAAAAATTGGCATCTGCCAGAAGAAGCCATAAGAATTTAAAGACAAATCTGTCAATCTTTTTAGTTATTTGCATTGTGAGCTTCAACTATTTTGAAGCATTCAAAAACCAAAATACAGATGAGCTTTTAAACTGTGTCCTGTTAGTAACAGACTAAGGTGCCTTGGAATTCTATTTGTCCTGTTAATTTTATTTAAAAAGTTGAAGAACTGATGTCAAGCGGAAAAAACTCACAATTCCAAAGCTTGTACAGTATGTGCTGACAAGTAGATTTAATTTTAGCTAGTACTAAACTACTGGAGTTATTCTAAAGTTCTCAAAAATCAAATTTAAGCTGTTAGATAAAGGCTAACATCTGTTATTAGAAACCTCATTTTACAGTTGGATAAAACAAGGTACAGAATTAGTAGTTGTATCATCATTATTGTGCACTGGCACATACATAAACAGCTGCTTGAATGTTATAATCATGTTAAACTTCCATTTGAAGAACATTTTTAAGAACTGTTGGAGATGCTAAGAGACTTGCAGAAACTATCTTTAACAATTCTAAGTTGTGAGCAAGTGTATCAAGTCAGGAGTTCTAAAGAAAGGCTCATCTGACTCTGGATAATGGTAACCAAGAGCAGGTAGATATGGGCTCCACAGTAACCCATGTGAACAGACCATGAATTAACTCACAGCTCTTGGGTTAACAGTATTGCAAAATGCACTTACTTGCTTTGAACATTACATCATCTGTCAATGTCAAATAACAGAACCTAAGAATCTTAAATCCTCAGGTACAACCACTGCCTGTAACGGCAATCACATGTGAATAGGTACAAGTCCTTTTAAAGGGGTCCAAAGCCACATCTAATTCTTTCAGTCATGGTCTGCTTGACCCTAGACAAGCCCAGCATGCTTGTGTGGTGAAGATATATTATAATGAACTGCAAAAAGGGAGTGAGACCTCCAACTGCCTCTGAACACTCTGCCCCTTCCCAGCCCAAATGACCAGGTATCCATTTACAGCTAAGCTGACCAGGGGAGGCTTTTGATATGTTTCAGAGTGAGGTTGAACTCATAGTTTCATAGTTAGTAGGGTCAGAAGGGACCTGAGCAGATCATCAAGTCCGACCCCCTGCCTTGGCAGGAAAAAGTACTGGGGTCAAACGACCCCAGCAAGGTGTTTGTCTAGCCTCCTCTTAAAGACCCCCAGGGTAGGAGCCAGCACCACTTCGCTTG